GTAAGAATAGAAGTTTATTTAAACTTTGGCATAATTTACAAATTTTAAGTTGCCCACTTTTGAATCTTTAGACAAGCACGTTCATTTCTCGCTAAATTTATGATATGTATTACGATGGTATAGGTATAACTGATAGACTTAGTATTGGTATGTGATGGGTAGCTTAAAATAAACTTTTAGGAAATGACACCACTTACCCACAGAAATATGATGCGCAATTTATTGCGATTTGTGCAAGAGTTATGCTTTCTATATGTATTATTTATTTATTAGTATAGCAAAAATTCAAGTTGTGATGTTTGATATTTTATTAAATTATTTAATGAATTTTTTTTTAGTAACAATTTAAATATTTAAAATTTGGGTCGTTACGGTTGGTATCTGAGCCCAAGTTTAATTTTGTGTATACCCCTACGTAAATTCATGGTATGAGTAGGAAAACAAAATCACGAAAAAGTCACTGTTCGTGATGAACAGTGACAAAAAAATGAAATGATTTTAAATGGTTGTAAAAGTGTATGTGTGTGTATATTTATTTATCCTAATTGATTGTTCATATATATCTTTAATTTAAATGATTGTTCACATGTATAAATATAAGTGACCGTTTTTCTTAAATAATTGTTGAAGTGTGTGTGTGTATACACAACCACCATCAATCGACCACCCTCCAACGACTCTAAGGTATGTAAGGGGGTAAGAATAGAAATTTATTTAAACTTTGGCACAATTTAAAAATTTTAAGTTGCCCACTTTTGAATATTTAGACATGCCCATTTATTTCTCGCTAAATTTAGGATATGTATTACGATGGTATATGTATAAAATGTTAGACTTAGTATTGGTATGTGACAGGCAGCTTAATATTAATTTTTAGGAAATAGCGCCACCGACTCACACAAATTTGATGCGTGATTTGTTGCGAGCTGTAAAAGAGTTATGCTTTTTATATATTTTATTTATTTATTAGTAGAGCAAAAATTCAGGTTGTAATGTTTGTTGTTTTATCAAGTTATTGAATGAAATTTTTTTTTAGTAACGATTTAAATATTGAAAATTTTGGTTTTTGGTATCTGAGCCCAGTTTAATTTTCTATAGGCCCCTAGGTAGATTCATAGTTTGAGTACAAAAAAATTCATGAACAAAGTCACTATTCGCGATGAACAGTGACACCACGTGATCAGTGACCAAAAATAAAAATGTAATGATTTCAAATGATTGTAAGAGTGTATGTGTGTGTGTATATATGTATATATTTATTTTAAATGATTGTTCTTATATATCTTTATTTTCAATGATTGTTCACATGTATAAATATGAGCGGCCATTTTTCTTAAATAATTTTTGAGGTGTGTGTATATATATATATATGCGAATTGTATTAATTTGAATGTTACGTGTTTAATTTAAATATGCATGATATTTGTTGAAATTTTATTTTTGTATATATATACACAAACTTATAGATATGATGTAAAATACAAATTTAATTTAATTAAGTCCCTAAATATGCAAAAATTTTAAAAACCTTCAGCACTTAACCACCACCAATCCGACGACTCTAATGTATTTAAGGGGGGTAAGAACAGAAATTTATTTAAACTTTCGCACAATTTAAAAATTTTAAGTTGCCGACTTTTGAATTTTAGACATGCACGTTCATTTCTCGCTAAATTTATTATATGTATTACGATGGTATAGGTAGACTTAGTATTGGTACGTGACAGGTAGCATAATATAAACTTTTAGGAAATGGCGCCACCTACCCACACGAATTTGATGCGTGATTTATCGCGAGCTATACAAGTGTTATGCTTTTTATTTGTTTTATTTATTTATTAGTAGAGCGAAAATTCAGATTGTGATGTCTAATATTTTATTAAATTATTGAATGAAAATTGTTTTAGTAACGATTTAAATATTTAAAATTTGGTTCGTTACTGTTTGGTATCTGAGCCTAGGTTTAATTTTCTGTAGACCCCTATGTACATTCATGGTATGAGTAGAAAAAGAAAATCATGAAAAAAGCCACTTGTCGTGATGAACAGTGACTCAACGTGACCAGAGATAAAAAAAAAAAAATTTAATGATTTTAAATGGTTGCAAAAGTGTATGTGTGTGTATATTTATTTATTTTAAATGATTGTTCATATATATCTTTATTTTACATGATCGTTCACATGTATAAATATAAGTGACCGTTTTTCTTAAATAATTATTGAAGTGTCTGTATACGTATACATATTGTACTAATTGAAAATGAGACATGTTTAATTTAAATTTGCGTCATATTTGTCGAAAACTTATTTTTGTATATATACACACAAATTTAAAGATATGACGTAAAATACAAATTTTTCCTATAATATAAACAACAATGCTATTCGAACAGATTCCTTTGCACAGATGTTGAACAGGTAATAAAAAATTAATAATGGACACATCAATGAACAGTAGAAATTGTTTGAAAAAGGGGACAAATTTGGCAGACCATAGCAGTGTGTCACGGAGACACTTTCTCCCTGACGCACTGCCGGTCATGTAGCAGTGTGTCACGGAGACACTTTCTCCGTGACACACTGCCCCACACTCTCCGTGACACACTTGAGTGACACACATGTGTCACTCAAGTGTGTTACGGAGACACTTACACACTTTTTTTTCATTTTTTTCTATTTTATTGTTGTTCGAGGATGTGGTTTTGTAAACAAAAATAAAAATATAATTTACGATCAATTGTATACTTTTTTAAGTTCGTCTTCTATATTGGGTGTGTCCCTTGAAATGAAGAACATATCTGTTGGAAGTAAATGTCAAAACGAGCAGATGTACATATTCAAAGACTTTTGAAAATAAAATTCTCTTTCGGGGGCGTTGCCCCCGAGCCCCCACGAGGGACGCTGCCCCCTCGACCCCCGGGACCTGACAAATCATTGAGAAGTTTTGAAATGTTTATAGATAGTTTGGTGTAAAATTTCAGCTTGCAGGTTGCAATGCATATAATCCTGAGAATTTTTTATCTTTCAGTTTCTACTTCTTTCTATTTAGGCGTTTTCAAAATGCGCGGGACAGTCCATGCATCTATTGCTCAGATCATTAACTAACACGTTCAACACAAATGTACAGTTATACAAAATATAAGCAAAACACAGGTCTTGAGATTTGTTCACTTAAAATCACGCAAGTTTCTTATCAAACCAATTCTTATTTCTACAGGCACGAAATAGCAAGTTTTGATTCTGCATATTATTCTACCTGGCCAAAACCAAATAGTCCACTATGGACATGCATAAAATTTTTCCTCAATTGATAAAACTTAAGAGGCAAAAGATTTTCTTTCTGAATTTTTCATGCTAATGTTGGGACGCCTGAAGTTCTTGTGTACCAACTGGAGTAGCACTCTGACTCGAATTTGGTCTCTTTCCTTTGCTCGATGTTGATGTTGCCTGCATATCAAAGCGAGCGTATGAGGAATTGTTGCAACAATCTGGCAGAATATGAATTATAATATTTTAAATTACCTTTACTTTCTTCGAACTCGACTCCAACGGGCTTTTACTTCGAAGTTTCTTTGGTGCACCCTTTCTTCTCGACACGAGAGGGTCCCGTACGCTCCCGCTCAAGGTATTCTGCGATACATTACACTGGGGGCCTAATTGTACCGTATGGTGTGCGAGGACATTAGTGCTTGTACTCGTCCGTGTCAACGTAAGAACTGTACACTGCGATTCTATCCAGTCCATTATGGCGCGAGTCTGCCCGTCATCATCAGCAGCAAGATCTGCCAACCCAGCAAAAGACTGACACATACTATCATATCTCAACTGACTAGGTGTACTAACCAACCCAGCGTAGTTCACAGCCACCCTCGCGTGTGCTCTACTAACATCTCTTCTCCATCGTCTCAGTATGTACCTCTCCGGTATTGATGTGATGCAATTACGGATCAACACCGATATCGCATGCCTACAAATTATACCCCTAAACTCGAACAAGTGACAGCTGCAAATGAATTGACAATTCTCCTTTTGAAATGACACAAAAAATGTTTTTTTCTTCATTCGCTCGCCGCATGCCACAACTTCGCAGACCTCGTACATTGTCCCAAAACTATTTTCTGAAGTAGATATGAGGTCACAATACATCTTCCCTATAAACTCCTCCTGAACCTCCTTGAATTTTGAGATGGTATAAACAGATTGAAATTGTTTCTCCATTTCAAACATACTTACGCATGGTAGCATTTGTGAATATGATTTGAAATCAGCTTGAAATTCCTTTTCAACCTTATTCCTTAGTGCTCGCTCATATTGTTCTACAAACTGTTTCAATGAAGTCTTTGAGTGTACATATCCGTCAAAGAACGCATTCATACTCTCACTTCTTTGCGTTGTTGACATCCCTGCCCAAAAAGTGGTTTTCAGAAAGCAAGGAACCCAACGCTTTCTGTTCTCGTATAGTCCAGATAACCAATCATTTTCATGCAATCCAAACTTATTAATCATTGCGATCCAACCTTCTTCAAACTCTTCAACGAACTGGGAATCATACACCAATCCATGTATATCAGAAAATATAGAACCCTTATCAATATGGTACCCAAACTTCTCTGGCAACTTTTTCAAAATGTGCCATAAACACCACCTATGGTTTGTATTTGGAAAAACAATTTGAATTGCATTTTGCATGGCTCTATCCTGATCAGTGATTATTCCATGGGGAGCTACACTGTGCATGCACTGAAGCCATGACCTGAATAGCCACACAAAACTATTTGTGTCCTCGTTCGAAAGCAAACCACAACCAAGCAGTGTTGATTGTCCATGGTGATTGACGCCAACGAAAGGAGCAAAAGGCATATCATACTTATTTGTAAGATACGTTGTATCAAACGTGACCACATCGCCGAATTCCTTGTATGCCTGCCTACACCTATTATCTGCCCAAAATATGTTCCTCAACCGCGATTCATCATCCAAATCAATACTAAAATAAAACCCCGAGCAATGTGCTTGCATATTTGAAAAATATGCTTGTATTGCGGCGGCATCTCCTTCTCCGAGTCTCAACCGTCTCACTTGTTCGATGTAGTTCCGACAATCCTTTTCCACACAAGTCATATTTTCGTATCCGCCCGCCTCAACAACTGCGGAATTATAACTTTTGTGCAACGGAATTCCCGCCACATCGTTCACTTCAAGCCTCCGCTTAACCTGTGCACTCAGTTCTCTATTGCATCGAAACAACCTGGATTTCGATGGGCTTGTTCCATGATTGTGGTCGAGGTGGACTGCATTAATTCTCCAAGATCCATGATCATCTGAAGATGCGCTTATCCGGGCCTTACAATTGGTGTGAATTGTTGGTTGCGGCCTTACAGATCCGGTAGTAGTACTTGGCCTTCGACCTTCACGGCCACAAGTATATGTCACAAATCTCAAAACTCCACCGGACCCTTTTTTTGAATTCCTTTTTTTTACGGGAAAACCTACGCTGTATGCATATTCTTTGTACAATTCAAACATTTCATTTTCACTGCTAAATGTCATTCCGACCTTAGGTACAACGATACCATCATCTCCTAACATTTCATCTTCCACTATGTTCCTGTTCTCCGCAACGATCTCATCCTCAGTTTCCAACAAAAAATCATCAATGCCACCTTCCATATTATTTCCTGCGTCCAGAAATGAAGCAAAAATTGTATCGTCATTATTATGCATAAAGATTGAACATTCTAAGTAAATTGTAAAATAAATATAGTTTATTGGTAAAATTTCAAAGATCTAAGGTTCTCACTGCTATCAACAGACTGAATAAGCTAAAGAGAACTAAAGTAAAAACCATGATTTTAACTTCCAGGTTACAAGCTTCTCGTTACCTTTAGAGTTTCACAACCTAAAGAACTAAAGTAAAAACCATGAAATCCAAATTGTTCGAACAGCATTATTGTAATAACAATAACCAATGCAGGGCATGTTTTTCATCCCCATTACAGAGTTTTC